CGAGACTCCCGCGAAGCGCCAACCCCGCGCTTGGGGCTTGTCCTCGAGCCGAGCCCCGTGCCCGCGAGCCTCCCGGACCCCTTTGTGCGACCGGAGGCGGCGGCGGGAACGGCCATGGCGGCCAACGTGTACCGGGTGGGGGGTGAGTACCGGGCGCAGGGGTGCGGGGTCCGGGACGGGAGAGGTTGGGGGCCGGGGCTCGAGAGGCTCGGCAGCCGGCGGCGCGGGGAGCAGCGTCGGGAGCGGCGTGGACCGGGGCGCGGACCGGAACCGGAACCGGGAGTTCGGGGAGCGAGGGTGCGGGGACGGCGACCCGGCCGGGCGCCGAGACTGCCGGAGAGGCTGAGCGCTGCCCCGACGGCACTCTCCGGGCAGCGTCGGGGACCCCGGGGCGGGGAGTGGGCTTGAGAAACTGATTCCGAAGGAGATGACAGGGCAGGGAGGACGCTAGGGACGGGGCGACGGGTCGGAAGAGAGCCGCCCGGAGGTCTCCTCTCCCCAGGAGTTATCGTGAGCCTCGGTTTGCAAAGCTGGGGGCCCTGCGCTGAGTGAACGATTGCTCACTCGCCGAGACTGGGGTGCAGCTAACTCCATCGCTTAGTTGTGGGGACTGCAGGGGAACCCCTGCTTCTTGTCTCTTCCTTAAGTCTCGTTTTTGAAGCTAGGGACCTGATTACAAAACTAGGTGCGGCATGTGGGGGGGGGGAGGGGGCATCCTTATTTTGTTTTAGTCTCCCCACTTCCACGTCTCAGCGTCCGCTCTTCCTGGACCCTTGTCTTCTTTTGGTCCACTCAGGCTGAGTTTCTCTCCTCCCACCCTGGTGCTCCGCTCTCCCACCTCCTCTGATCTTCCCGGTTTCTCCCCACCCCCTCCTACAGATTACGTCTATTTTGAGAACTCCTCCAGCAATCCTTACCTGGTTAGACGGATTGAGGAGCTCAACAAGGTGAGTGGAACAGAATTCACACCGCCCTCCCCCCCTTGGTCTCTTTCTTCTGAGGTCTCTAACTTCAGGTGGGCGAGAGGACCCTATCCTAAGTACCCATTCATATTCATTCATTCTGTGTATTCAGGAAAAGCTATTGAGAGCTTAGTGGAAACTTTACTATTCTGTCTCTTGGGGGCAGTGGAAAGGGATTGGAAGTCTGTCCCTGAATGTAAGTCTTTACTCATAATTTTTTGAGCTTTTTTACTTAGGTCCCTTAGAAACTTACTTACTGTTATTAGTCTCTTTGTGTATTGCCACTTTCAAATGACCAATTTTCACTGCCACATTTTTTCCCTCTTAGACTGCAAATGGAAATGTGGAGGCAAAAGTTGTCTGTCTTTTCCGGCGAAGGGACATTTCTAGTAGCCTCAACAGCCTGGCTGATAGTAATGCCAGTGAGTGTCTTCATCCTCTTCATCTCCCCCTCCCCATGATCTGAAGCCTGGGCATGTTCCTGCAGGTGTTTTCCCTGGTAGCATGCCCAAGGCAGGGGTGTGGGTTTGGGGGTGGGAAATGCCTGGTCTGCAGACAGAGGCCTGTTTTTACACGTTGGGGTTGGAAGCAGGGTGGAGGGACCATGATAAGGAAAGGCAGAATACGGTTTGTATGTGAGAGAGGGAGAGAGGTGATAGTATTTATATAGAGGATGAGGAAGAGCTTTAGAGAAGCAGGACGCTTGGGGGGGGACAGTTTTAGGTATGTTAGTGGGTGGTGACTGTGAGGGTCAAGGTGAAGAGGAAGAGATCGTATTGAGAAGCCCGCATAACAGGGAAGAGGGGAGAGGATAGAAAGCTAGGGGATGGTGGGAAAGTTTTCTTGCACTGTTTCTTAACCTCTCCCATTTCCCCTTCTGTCCATTTTACATGTTTCCCTTTTCCTCTTTCATTATCCTTAAGCTCTCCTTTTTTAATAAAAATATACTTCCTTCAGTTTTCCTTAACTGCTTTGATCCCCCCCCCCCCACACACACACCTTGTTTCGCCTTCCTAAATTATTTTCTTTTTTCTGGCTGCTTTGGGCATGAAGGCGTTAATGAGGAGCTGGGCTTACCAAGTTCCCTGGCCCTTTGGGGTTTCCAGCCCCATCTGGCAGGGGCTGACCTTGGCCTTGTCCAATCAGATGGGGTGTGGGGGGTGTGGTCCCCCTTGCCTTAGCCCTGGATTTCCGGAGCTCACAGGCGAAGGGCGGAGTCTAGTGCACCTCCCCCCCCCCCCCCCCCACACACACCTTGTTTCGCCTTCCTAAATTATTTTCTTTTTTC